CTTAAATCCATAGATCCATTTGTGAAGAATTGTCATATTAAAAACATTGATTTCTAGCCAGGCGTTGTGGTGGGCCCCTGTAGTCCCAGCTACTCAGGAGGCTGAGCCAAGAGAATTGCCTAAGCCCAGGAATTGGAGGTTGCTGTGAGCTGTGTGACGCCACGGCACTCTACCAAAGGCCACAAAGTGAGACTCTGTCTCTACAAAAAAAAAAAAAGAAAGAAAGAAAAAGAAAAAAAATGAAGCTAAAAATAAGAGATAAAGGACAATGTAAGGAAACCTCATGCTTTCTTTGATAGCACATATACTAAAATTGGAGTGATACAGAGATAAGTCTGGCCCTGTGTAAGGATGGCACGCAAATCTGTGAAACATTCATAGTTTTAGTTCAGTTTTGCAAAGTGAAAAAAATTCTGCAGATCTGTTTCACAACAATGTGAAAAAACTTTGCACTACCAAATTGTACACTTAAATTGGTTTAGATAGTTAAGTTTTATATTATGTTTCCTAACACACACACACACAAACTGTAATATCTTGATCTGGGTGTTGGTTATCTGGATGCATAAAAATTCATTGAGTTTGGTGGCACCTGTGACTCAGTGAATAGGGCGCAGGCCCCATAGAGGGTGGAGGGTTCAAACCCTGCCCCAGCTGAACTGCAACAACAACAAAAAAATGGCCGGGTGTTGTGGCAGGCGCCTACTTGGAAGACTGAGGCAAGAGAATCTAAACCCAAGGGCTGGAGGTTGCTGTGAGCAGTGTAACACCAAGGCACTCTACCGAGGGCGATAAAATGACACTCTGTCTCTAAAAAAAAAAAAAAAATTCATTGAGTTGTACACTTAAGGTTTACATATCTTGATTATATGACTCAAAATATTTAAAGTGGATTTAATGTAAAATATATATATATGTATAACTGGGGGGGAAACACCCAGGATGAGTTCATTAACTCACCTAGTTTGGCCTTTCTATTATTATCATCATAATTAATAAACATTTTGTGAGATATCTCCTATTACAAATGACATATACTTGCTATAGCATTTTTAAAGTAAACTTTCAAGTAAAAATAAATCTGTTTAAAATACAAATATCAAGCTTATATATACTCAATTTCTGTGTTGCTTTATAAACTCTGATTAGAGAAATCTTTTCTTTTTTTTTTTTTGAGACAGAGCCTCAAGCGAGAAATCTTTTCTTAAGCTAGATCCCAAAAATAATTTTTAAAAAATTCAGGTAGCATTATAGTATTCGTTAAACTTTATTTTGATATCCACAAGTAATGACCAGTAAAAGGTATAAACCATAAGGGCATTATTCCTTAGAAACAAAAATTACATTCTGCAACAGGGATCCTGTGGAAACAGTGGTGCTTTTTATTGAGGGTCATCTGGGAGGGTGTTGAAGAGGAGGAGGATGAGATACAAGGTCCTCAGCTCTGCCCAACCCACATTTCCCTAGCATTGAAGTCACTAAAAGCAATACTGTGATTTGTAACTTGATCTTACCTTGAACTTCATGTCCACAAAGTAGTCAGTAATAATCTTGGCATTTTTCCGAGATTGTTTCATATAACTCAGGCTAGATGGCTTTATAAATATGACATAGGGCTTCAGCTCTTGAGTTCGAGCCACCTGAATATCCTACATAGCAAAAGGCACATTTAAAAACAGATGTCCTAGCTTCCTAGAGTCAACATGAATGATCTAAAATCTTCTAAGACTAGAAATTAGCCGTTGTTTTTAGCCATTATCCTCAATTTTAAAAAGCAAATGTTTTAAGTTTAGAGGTGGGATTCTAGAATCAAAATTAAGTTCAAATCCTTACTCTTTTTCTTACCAGCTGTGACTAGCTACTGAAATCTTACTAGCTGAATGAGATTCTATACATGAGAAAATCTTTTTACTGAGAGAATTCTGTGCATGATCTCATATGTCAAAGACAAAGACTCTCAAGACGATCAGCTCTGTTTCACCCTTATTTCCCTTCCCTCTTGTTATCTCACATTGGATACTACTGCCATCTTCACACTCATCCCTCACTTTTGACTCGAGTAAGAAGAAATCTCTCTCCCCCCCAATTCTCATTAGCACACAAAACACGGTAGAACCTCTGTAAGTTGAACACCCGAGAGACTGTAACAAACTGGTCCACATATAGAGGTGGTCAACAGAAGGAACTAGTCCAACTGTACTGATGCATACATGTGGTGCATGTCCAGTTTATGAAAACTAGGTCAATTTAAGGAAGGTGATCAATTAGGAAGGCTGTTCTGTATACTTTTAAATGACTAAGGAACACACAAGAAAATACAAAGATTATAAAAAATGGAGCCTACAGATCACATATTCTTACATTAGCTTGGTCACCCCTGCTCCATTTCACATAAAGTCTCAGGGAAAAGGTCACTGATGTGACAACGCAGAAACCTCATCTCCTTCTGTAAAGTCATATCTTGCTCCCTCTACAAGAAGTAACCATGATGCCTTTGTGATCAAGGTCAAAGCAAGAAAGATTCTAACATTTCTTTATGGGCACCTGCTCAGTTCTGCTTTTGCATCTAAGAAGCAAAATTTCTTCTCCAATTAAAAACAAGATGTTGGCAGTTGCTGCTTCAAGTAAAATCTTAGCCATGAGAAGTGCTCTTGTTCTTAAAAGGCTAACCGAATAAAATGTTTCACCTATAACTTACAGCACATGCACAAAATGAATGACATGGATTCATGATTGGGAAGATGAGAAATATTCCACCTGGACCCACCTGAGGCTCCAAGTCCATAACACAGATCTTTCCTTCATCAAGGACTGCCTGAACAGCATCCACACTAGTGCCATACAGGTGGCCTTTGTACTCACCATACTCCAGCATCCTGCAGGAGTGGAACAAAGAAAATAAGAACTCTTTTTACAAGTAAAATAGAAGTAGTAGTAACCTGAGAATAAGATATGATAGAATAGAATAAAAATACATGAACTTTGCTAGCACAAGAAAAGAATTAATAGATACTCAGTAGAAGAAAACAATAGATCTAGGATTTATCCACTTCCTCAAATTCTCTAAAAGTTGGCATTTCCCTTTCCAAACCCAGTA